GTGAGGACTTTGCTGTGGTTCAGCAGGAGATCACCATGATGAAGGACTGCAAACACTCCAACATCGTGGCCTACTTTGGTAGTTATTTACGGTACAGTGACCAAACCAACGTTTACTTTCCTTCTGTCAGTCTGTATTTGTTTACTTTTGTTTTTTTCTGAATGTAAACTTCCTGTAGGAGATGTGGGAAGTGTTGAGGGTCTGTGGGGGTCAGTGAGGTTTGTCCTTGGTGTGTCCCTGCGTCTGGTTTATGTCCTGTGTGTCTCTTGAACCCTGAAGGTTCCTCCTCATCCTCCATCTTCCTCTGTTCTGCACACTGATGTCACGCTGACGTCATTTGTTTTCCTTTCTTGCTCGTAGGAGAGATAAGTTATGGATATGTATGGAGTTCTGTGGAGGCGGATCACTGCAGGACATTTATCACGGTAAGATATGAAACCCACACAGTAAATCGCTGAACCTTCTCAGTGTGTCACCCTTAGTCTGACAGGCCAACTCTGATAGACCTGATCTAACAGACCAGATCAAACACACCAGATCCAACAGACCAGATCCAACAGAGCAGATCTGACACACCAGATCCAACAGACCAGATCCAACAGAGCAGATCTGACACACCAGATCCAACAGAGCAGATCTGGCACACCAGATCCAACAGACCAGATCCAACAGAGCAGATCTGGCACACCAGATCCAACAGAGCAGATCTGACACACCAGATCCAACAGAGCAGATCTGACACAGCAGATCCAACAGAGCAGATCTGACACACCAGATCCGACAGACCAGATCCAACAGAGCAGATCTGACACACCAGATCCGACAGACCAGATCCAACAGAGCAGATCTGACACACCAGATCCAACAGAGCAGATCTGACACAGCAGATCCAACAGAGCAGATCTGACACACCAGATCCGACAGACCAGATCCAACAGAGCAGATCTGACACACCAGATCCGACAGACCAGATCCAACAGAGCAGATCTGACACACCAGATCCAACAGACCAGATCCAACAGAGCAGATCTGACACACCAGATCCAACAGAGCAGATCTGGCACACCAGATCCAACAGACCAGATCCAACAGAGCAGATCTGGCACACCAGATCCAACAGAGCAGATCTGACACACCAGATCCAACAGAGCAGATCTGACACAGCAGATCCAACAGAGCAGATCTGACACACCAGATCCGACAGACCAGATCCAACAGAGCAGATCTGACACACCAGATCCGACAGACCAGATCCAACAGAGCAGATCTGACACACCAGATCCAACAGAGCAGATCTGACACACCAGATCCGACAGACCAGATCCAACAGATCAGATTCATCACACCAGATTCGACAGACCAAATCTGATGCACCAGATCTGAAAGACCAGGTTTGATACACCAGATCCAACAAACCAGATCTGACACACCAGATCCAACAGACTAGATCCAATAGACCAGATCTAGCACACCAGATTGGACACACCAGATCCAATAGACCAGATCTGATACATCAGACCCGACAGACCAGATCTGGTACACCAGATCCGACACACCAGGCATGACAATCCAGATCTGACAGAGCAGATATGACAGACCAAATCTGACACACCAGATCCGGCAGACCAGATCTGACAGATGAGATCCGACACCAGATCTGACAGACCAGATCCAACAGACCAAATCGGACACATCAGATCCGACACACCAGATATTACACACCAGATCCTACACACCAAATCTGACACACCAGATCTTAAACATCAGATCCTACACACCAGACATCACACACCAGATCCTACACTCCAGATCCAACATACCAGACATGACAGAACAGACACGACACACCAGATCCGACAGATCAGGCCAGCTCAGGTTCCGTGAGCTGTATGGATTTTGGACGCGCCTGCTCAGTAAGTCTGACCTGTCATGGACGTGCGCGTCACTATGGTGCAGGAAATCCAAAGCTGGAGCGTCCAGATGTAGAGAACCCTGATTTATGTGAGGCGTCGAGCTCTGAAACAGACCACCTTCCTAAGAAGAGTGATCTGTCTGGCTTTCTCATAACGTGTGTGTGTTATTTTCAGCTGCCTATCGCAGGATTCACTGCTAACACCTCTGGATCATTAGTCGGTCTCTCTAAATGAGAGTGTCTGTAGATTATACTGACTTCAGTGCACAGACCTGTTCACACGCCTGTGTTTTCTGTTCGTAGTGACCGGTCCACTGACGGAATCACAGATAGCGTACGTGTCAAGAGAAACTCTCCAGGTGAGTCTGACCCTGACTGTGTCCATCACTAACACTGTTAAACCGTTGCATGTTAGCTTCTGCGCGCTAACAGGAGTGACGCTCCTCGTCTGTTTATAAAACACGCTCAGTTTTCTGTGTTTCTGTCCGTCTGAGTGTGATCTGTTCTTCCTGTGAACGCAGGGTTTGTACTACCTCCACAGTAAAGGAAAGATGCATCGAGACATAAAGGTAACGTCTGCTTTCATGTTTCTGAGCTGTTTAATCGTCTCTGATGCGTCTCCTGATTGATGCCACTGATAGATTCTCATTATAGGAATGATGATTATAGAAATGCTGCTGCTGAGCGGCTCCACTTTAACCTGCAGAAGCTTCTGGAAAGTGTGTGTGTGCAGCTTCTGTCACTGATTTAGCTCCGCGAGCTCAGATCACAGATGAAAGGACACGCGGAGAAAGTGTCTCTTCAAAGTGGGAAGATGAAAGATCCATTTATTTATTTTTTTAATATCCATTTTGCCTGAGAGGTGCTGCAGCCTGTAAAGTCCCGCATTAGAAATGCACCCTTCTTATTTTTATTAGTCTATGTATTATTTATAATCAGTGTTTATAACTTATTATTTCAGGGAGCCAACATTTTACTGACAGACAACGGCTACGTCAAGCTGGGTAAGAGAAACACACTATTAACACAAACTCTTATGAGATATACAGCACTGTGCAAAAGTCAGGACCCCCCATTGATTTGATTTCCAGTTTAAACGGCCATTAAATACAAATTATTCACTTCTTAACTTACGGAAAAAACAGAAAACACATATTTAACAGGAGCCTCAGCAGCTAAATCTCCTCTCAGCTGTGAGAGTCAGCGAGTCACTCTTTCCCTTTATTCCAGCCTCCATTCTTTTCAGGAGCCTCACTTTCAGCTCCTCAAAGAATCTGCAGACAAACCACCAAAGTTCAGTCTTAGAAGCTGGTTGATCATTTTCTGAAGTAATCAAACACATTCAGTGGTGTTGAGGTCTGGACTCTGAGGTGGTCAGTCCATCGTTCAGCTTCTTTGTTTGATGTGTCCGTCTCCTTTTCTCAGTTCTTCTTGACAGCTACACATCCTTTCAGACCCACAGCGCTGAGTCATCTTCTCACAGTAGACAGATGAGTCTGTGATCTAATGATATGTGTGACTGACGGATGTTCATTTTATATCGTTTTCTCCTTTTCTGATCACCTCCACTGTGACGGTGCTCGTTTCTCCTGGCGCCTCTATGAGGTCTGCAGTGTTGTGTTATTAGTGAGCTAATGGTGGTGTACGTTCACACAGCATGCTGGTCTTATTCCAGATTAAAATTTACATTTTGACAAATGTGCCACCCCAGTATTATGTTTTTGTTTGTTTGGTATTTGAATTTTATGATTAGTTGTTGAAATAATTTAAGTAAAATTGTTTTTAGAGTCACATCAGCACAAATAATGGTCTAATCAAATGAACAGAAGTCTGTGATTAGACCCCTGATTTAAACTCAGCTCAGCAGCTGTTTTCATTTCACTCACCTTCTGTTTCAAATCACTTTAAACCAGCAGCTCCAGTTTCTCTGGTCAATCCTCTCGCCAGGTCTCTAACTAACGCGGTGACAGCTGAGTTTTCAAAAAACAAATGATACTAAAAAGCACATATTAGCAAACATTACTTAGAAATATTAACCTTTGATGCTGAACTTTAAAGTTTGTGGACTTTATTTAAAAATGATCTGTTTACTTATGAGTTTGTAGGTTTAACTTGAAATGAATTAAATCTTCAGCTCAGTGTTTACAGTTTACAGCTCTCAGTGAGGGAAAGTTAATAAGAGGTTAATGTGTAATTAAGAAAGAGTGATTGGAGGCATTTACAGTGATGGAATGTCGTGGCTTTGTGTTGGTCGGTCAGTCAGCTGAGTGGAGACTGCTGACCCTGCAGAGTGCATGATGCGGAGGATGTGGTTCTTGGGGGTTTTAAATAAAGGATTTGAGTGTTTAGAGTCACTTCCTGTCGTGAGTCAGTCGCTGTGTGTGAAAGTTCAGATATTCCCGCTGTTTACATTCAGACGTTTCTGTGTTTTGTTTGTTCTGTAGCTGATTTTGGAGTTTCGGCTCAGATCACAGCGACTCTGGCGAAGAGGAAGTCCTTCATTGGAACTCCGTACTGGTAAACACTGGTCACTCACAGCACGACACTGACCGGCCACGTTAACACACACACACACACACACACACAGCAATACTGGACCTGTGAGTGAGTGTGAGAGTGTCTGTGAGAGTGTGTGTCTGTGAGTGTGTGTCTGTGCGAGTGTGAGAGTGTGGGTGTGAGAGTGTCTGTGAGAGTGTGAGTGTGAGAGTGTCTGTGAGAGTGAGTATGAGTGTGAGAGTGTCTGTGAGAGTGTGAGAGTATCTGTGAAAGTGTCAGAGAGAGTGTGAGAGTGTGTGTGAGAGTGAGTGTGAAAGTGTGTGAGTGAGTGTGTGTGAGAGTGTGTCAGAGTGTGAGAATGAGAGTGTCTGTGAGAATGTGAGTGTGAGTGTCTGTGAGAGTGTGTGAGAGTGTGAGTGTGAGAGTGTGAGTGTGAGAGTGAGAGTGTGAGAATGAGAGTGTGTGAGTGAGAGTGTGAGTGTGAGAGTGTGAGTGAGTGTCTGTGAGAGTGAGTGTGAGAGTGTCTATGAGAGAGAGTGAGTGTCAGAGTGAGAATGAGAGTGTCTGTGAGAATGTGAGTGTGAGTGTCTGTGAGAGTGTGTGAGAGTGTGAGTGTGAGAGTGAGAGTGTGAGAATGAGAGTGTGTGAGTGAGAGTGTGAGTGTGAGAGTGTGAGTGAGTGTCTGTGAAAGTGAGAGTGTGAGAGTGAGAATCTGTGAGAGTGTGAGTGTGAAAGTGTGAGTGTGAGTGTGTGAGAGTGACTGAGTGTGACAGTGAGAGTGTGATGTGAGTGTCTGAGTGTGAGAGTGTCTGTGAAAGTGTGAGAGTGAGAGTGTCTGAGTGAGTGTGAGAGTGTGTGAGTGAGTGTGTGAGAGTGAGAGTGTGTGTGAGTGTCTGTGAAAGTGAGAGTGTGTGAGAGCGTGAGAATGTCTGAGAGTGAGAGTGAGAGTGTCGTTGAGAGTGTGAGAGTGTCTGTGAAAGAGTGAGAGTGTCTGTGAGTGTGTGTGAGAGTCTGTGAGAGTGAGAGTGAGTGAGTGTGAGTGTGTGAGTGAAAGTGTGAGAGTGAGAGGGAGTGTGTGTGAGAGTGTCTGTGAAAGTGAGAGTGAGTGTGAGAGTGTGAGTGTGAGTGAGTGTGAGAGTGTCTGTGAGAGTGTGAGTGTGAGAGTGTATGTGAGTGTATGTGAGTGTGTGTGAGAGTGTGTGAGAGTGTGTGAGAGTGAGAGTGTCTGTGAAAGTGAGAGTGAGTGTGTGAGAGTGTGAGAATGAGAGTGTCTGTGAGAGTGAGAGTGTGAGAGTGTCTGTGTGAGTGTGAGAGTGTCTGTGAGAGTGTCTGTGTGAGTGTGAGAGTGTCTGTGAAAGTGTGAGTGTGAGAGTGTCTGTGAGAGTGTGAGAGTGTCTGTGTGAGTGTGAGAGTGTCTTTGAGAGTGTGAGAGTGTCTGTGTGAGTGTGAGAGTGTCTGTGAGAGTGTCTGTGTGAGTGTGAGAGTGTCTGTGAAAGTGTGAGTGTGAGAGTGTCTGTGAGAGTGTGAGAGTGTCTGTGTGAGTGTGAGAGTGTCTGTGAGAGTGTGAGAGTGTCTGTGGAATATCTGAAGACTCCCACTGAGTAATGGAGAAATGGCAGTGTGTGTTTTCCGTGCTGATCCTGTTGGTGGCGCTGTGTGTCAGGATGGCGCCGGAAGTGGCTGCTGTGGAGCGTAAAGGAGGTTATAACCACCTGTGTGACATCTGGGCCGTCGGCATCACCGCTATAGAGCTGGCGGAGCTCCAGCCGCCCATGTTCGAACTGCACCCCATGAGGTACGGCTGCTCCTTCACTGGCCTCTTAGTACGACATTCCACTCCACCTTAAACGGCCCTGCAGGCACTTTCAGGCTCTGAGGCTCCATTTAAGGTGGAAATCTGAATTAGAGTCACGGCTCAGTCACTGTGGGCCGTTTGGGCTGAAGGTAATCGGACGTGTTCTCCTCTCAGAGCCCTGTTCCTGATGACCAAGAGCAACTTCCAGCCCCCAAAGCTGAAGGACAAAGTTCGATGGTGAGAGATTCAATATCTACATTCCTGACCTCCTCACTGATTTCTGTTCTGACCGATTGATGTTCTGATTGATGTTCTGATGCTGTTGTGATGTACTGATGGTGTTCTGGTGTTCCGATGGTGTTCTGATGGTGTTCTGATGGTGTTCCGATGGTGTTCTGATGGTGTTCTGTGCTTTCTCAGCTTGTTAAAGTCTGATGTGGTAGATGCTGCTTTAATCTCCAGCTTCTCTTTTTTTAAGGTCCAATAACTTCCACAATTTCGTTAAACTGTCGTTGACAAAAAACCCGAAGAAACGTCCGTCAGCTGAGAAGCTGCTGCAGGTGAGATTCAGGAGGAGCACTTTGAGGAGCTGAATGTGGTCTAGAGTTTATGGGAATGTATTGATGGGCCAGTTTCCCCACTTAGTCTTATATAGTATATAATATATATGATAATAAAGTGAAATGTAGAATATAGATTAATAATCCTGTGTTTTTTTGGCCCTCAGCACCTGTTCGTTTCTCAGCCTCTGAGCCGGACGCTGGCAATCGAGCTGCTGGATAAGGCCAGTAATCCTGACCACGCCCACTACAGCGAGTTTGAGGATGATGACCCCGAGTCTGAGGTCAGCACCACCAGCAGATTCAGCAGCTTCTCAATTGAATTTTCCGTTCCACCTTAAATGGTGGTAGCAGATGCACTCTGGTGTCTGAGGCCAAATCGACTGACATGGTTTGAGGAGAGTGTGTGATGATTTAGGTGTGAGGTTAGCGCAGTGCTGACCGGTGGGTATAAGCTTACGTTACTTGTTAGCTACATCAGCCTCATAGCTGCAGCGCTAAAACTAAACTAAAAGCAAACTTCAAAGACGTCTCGGCTCATGAGCCGCGTTTGGGGTTAAGAGGTGATTTTCTGCTAAACTGTCGCTTCAAATAAGCTTCTTGAGCATCATTTATGATTTAAGCAGAGCAGTAAAGCAGATGTATAGCTTCGCTGACCAGCGCTGCGGTCTGCTGTTTGACCAGCGGCTGTAAGTCTGATCTCTTTGCAGAGGACAGATGGTGTTAGCGGCCTGAGTCAACAGAAGACTTGAATGACCAAAACGGTCAGCACACAGCAACTTTATCAACAACAAAGACCAACACAGGAAAACACTGAAGCCTCATTTACACTCCTGATTATAAACAGTTTATTCTGCATTAGGCTGGAGTTTCACATTCCTGCATAATGAAGTGGTTAAGATGTAAACAGAGCGGTTCAGAGTGGTTCAGAGTGGTTCTCTGTTCTAGATAAACTTACCGAGTCAGAACTGTTCACAGTGGTGGTGATGGGAACCAGACGTCCACCTCTAAAAGCTCCCTCACAGAAAGTTCCTACATGAAATGGTTATGAATTCACTGCCTGATGACTGAGACACTGTTTTATGATAGTTTAGAGAACTTAAACTCCATTCATGGTGGAGGGATACATGCAGGGCGCTGTGAGGCAAAATAGTCCCCAAAGAAAACTGATTATTTCAGATTTTCCACTATTTTATTTTAAAAATCAGTGCAGTTCTTCTTTAAGACTCAAGGAGCAATATAGAGCACAGCGCCCCTCACTGGTCAGAGACCCTAACTGACCCACTGGAGCTCATTTACAGGAACTTTTCTGAGGTTTTAAAGATCAGACGGTCAGCAGAGCAGCTTCACCCCCTCACTGATAATTTACTTTCAGTTCTTTTAAGTCTCTGAGTCACATGATCCTGTCGTTACAGTCACAGCCTGCATTTATTACACATTTATTACTTTCACTCACTCTCACTATAGCACTGTCCATCAGGTTTGATTTCTGATCAGATGGGATCAGAATTCAGATTCAAGTTGTCCCCTTGTTTATTTTCCAAATATTAGAATATGTTCAAATTTTAAAGGCATTATTTAAAACAAAAAGAAAATCTGGATCTGTAACTGCAGAACCCGCCAGATGTGCAGATCTGTCTGTCTGTCTGTCTGTCTGTCCATCTTCTTTTCTTTTTCTGTGTTGTGAGTTTGTGTAGTTTAAATTCAGGGCTTTATTTTCAGTTGTTTCTCTTTCACTCAGAGGTCTTTGATTCTCGCCTCTCTGTAGACAGGTAACCCAGAGACCCCCGGGACCACCAGGTCACATCACACATTACACACACATCACACACGCTGCGTTGCGTGGTCTGAGAGTGATGTGGTCAGTAAGAGTGAGAGGCTGTTTCTGGTCTGATAATCTTCACTGAACTGTGTTGTCAGTGAGAACAGATCAGATCTGATTCACTTCACTGTTTAATCATCAGCTCTCACAGCTGTTTCACTGCGTCTCCGTCTCCTGTTCTGATCCACCGCTTCAGTCAAACTCCTCCAGTTACAGCCAGCAGAACACGCTGAAGACCAGAGTCTGATCTCTGAACCGGATCAGTGATCTGATCAGACAGAGCTCCACTGTACTACCACTGTAGTTTATTATGAGGTTCACTGTAGTTTATTATGATGGTTATTGTAGTTTATTGTGAGGCTTAAGCAGTTCGGTGTGATAATCTGATTGTGTTTGCTTTAATGCTGATCCTGATGGCTGTTTTTCTCCTTTCTCTCCTTTATTAGTTTCTCTGATGTTCTTTTTCTCTCTTTTCTAGTTTTGTCTTTTTTCTGTTGTAATCGTTTTGTCTTGTTTCTCTCTGCAGCCGCCTGTAGACGTTCCTCATCGCATTCACTCCAGGAGCAGAAACACCCGGGAGGGCAAAACACTCTCCGAGATCAACTGTGAGTGTGTGTGTGTGTGTGTGAGTGTGTGTGTGTGTGTGTGTTTGTGTGTGTGTGTGTGTGTGTGTGAGTGTGTGTGTGTGAGTGTGTGTGTGTGTGTGTTTGTGTGAGAGTCTGTGTGAGTGTGTGTGTGAGTGTGTGTGTGTGTGTGTGTGTGTGTGTGTGTGTGTGTTTGTGTGTGTGTGTGTGAGTGTGTGTGTGTGAGTGTGTGTGTGTGTGTGTTTGTGTGAGAGTCTGTGTGAGTGTGTGTGTGAGTGTGTGTGTGAGTGTGTGTGTGTGTGTGTGTGTGTGTGTGTGAGTGTGTGTGTGTGTGTGTGTGTGAGTGTGTGTGTGTGTGTGTGTGTGTGTGTGTGTGTGTTTGTGTGCGTAGTTTAGCTGCTGTGTGATGTGAAGCTTTCTGAGATGCGGTTCTTCAGCCATCTCAACAGTCCAATCATAACCAGCCAATCAGAGCTCAGACAACGCACCATGTGATGGCATCTAACTGTATTATTACTGATGAGTGTTTTTCTCTCAGTTGACCAGGTGAAGTTCGATCCTCCTTTAAGGAAAGAGACTGAACCTCATCATGATCCAGTGAGTACCGCCGCCCTTAGAATCCAACCAATCAGCACTCACCACACCAACACACCAGCCAATCAGCTCCCTCCTGCATGAAATCACTCATATTACTGACCAATAAACAACAATGAGCTTAAACAGACAAATAAAGATAAAAAATAATATTGTAAAAAATAATAAACTCCCCACTCCAAAAACAACAGAGCGAAAACAGGAACTACATTTACCACAATCACTCACTCACTCACCCATTCACTCACTCTCTCTCTCACTCACTCCACCCATTCACTCACTCACTCACCCATTCACTCACTCTCTCTCTCACTCACTCACCCATTCACTCACTCACTCACCCATTCACTCACTCTCTCTCTCACTCACTCACTCACCCATTCACTCACTCACTCACTCATTCACTCACTCTCTCACTCACTCACTCACTCACCCATTCACTCACTCTCTCTCTCACTCACTCACCTATTCACTCACTCACTCACTGACTCACTCACTCACTCTCTCACTCTCACCCATTCACTCACTCAATCACCCATTCACTCACTCTCTCACTCACTCACTCTCACCCATTCACTCACTCACCCATTCACTCACTCTCTCACTCACTCACTCACTCACTTACCCATTCACTCACTCACTCACTCATTCACTCACTCTCTCACTCACTCACTCTCACCCATTCACTCACTCACTCACCCATTCACTCACTCTCTCACTCACTCACTCACTCACTCACCCATTCACTCACTCACTCACCCATTCAGTCACTCAGTCACTCACCCATTCACTCACTCACTGACTCACTCACCCTCTCACTCAATCACCCACTCACTCACTCACCCACTCACTCACTCACTCACCCACTCACTTACTGACTCACCCACTCAATCACCCACTCATTCAATCACCCACTCTCTCACTCACTCACTCAGCCACTCACTCATTCACTCCCCCTACCCGTTCTGAGTGTGTGGCGCCCCCTGCAGGTGTGTTCAGTGTAGCTGTGTTTATAGTGGTCAGTGTGGTAGTTTTTATCAGCGATCTGTAAAACTCTTCGTCGCAGCAGTAGATATGAAAGAGTGGGAGTGGGCGGAGCCTGTAGAGGTCAGTTAGACTGCAGATGGACTAAAACAGAACACACACACACACACACCCTCTTACCCATAATCCCCTGTTACCCGTAGCCCCCCTGGCAGTGTGTGTTAACTGGAGTTTTTTGCTGTGTTTACTAAACAGCTCGACTCTGAGGATTTTTTGGACTGTGCAGAGGAAATTTACTACACTGCGAGATCTAACCTGGTATTTCTGCTCTTCTCTGGTTCCGTCTCTTTATTCTGCACCGTCTGCTCGTCTGCTTTAGTGTTCATCATCATCATCAGCACCGCCGCCGCGTCTCCTCATCACCTGCACTGTGTGTGTGTGTGTGTAGTCATCTCACTCTGCTCAACATCCTGATGTGTGTGTGTGTGTGTGTGTGTGTAGTCGTCTCACTCTGCTCAACATCCTGATGTGTGTGTGTGTGTGTGTGTGTGTAGTCGTCTCACTCTGCTCAACATCCTGATGTGTGTGTGTGTAATCAAAAGCACTTTTGATGCTGAAGCGCTGAATCTCTGAGGGACTTTATTTTTAGACCCCGTCACACTGAGTTACAGCTACGTAGACAGTGTGTGTGTTTGTGTGTGTGTTTGTGTGTGTGTGTGTGTGTGTGTGTGTGTGTTTGTGTGTGTGTGTGTGTGTGTGTGTTTGTGTGTGTGTTTGTGTGTGTGTGTGTGTGTGTGTGAGTGTGTGTGTGTGTGTTTGTGTGTGTGTGTGTGTGTGTGTGTGTGAGTGTGTGTGTGTGTGTTTGTGTGTGTGTTTGTGTGTGTGTGTGTGTGTGTGTGCTCCACAGGGACAGTCGGACTGTCCTCTGCAGGTCGTGAGTGAGTGAGAGAGAACGCTGTCTCAGCGAGTGCTGACACTGCCTTACACACACTCTCTCAGTGTCTGCAGTAACAGTGTTTAAGGAGTTTCCAGAATGATCTGTAGCCCCTGCTGTAAATCACTGGTAGTGTGTGTTGTTGCAAATATTTGTGCCAGTGTTAGTATGAGCGCTACTATGAGTGCTGGTGCAAGAGAGTGGGGTCCAGTGATGGTGTGAGTGTTGGTTCGAATGTTGATGAGTGTTGGTTAGAATGTTGATGAGTGTTGGTTAGAATGTTGATGAGTGTTGGTTCGAATGTTGATGAGTGTTGGTTCGAATGTTGATTAGTGTTGGTTAGAATGTTGATTAGTGTTGGTTAGAATGTTGATGAGTGTTGGTTTGAATGTTGATGTGAGTGTTGGTTCGAATGTTGATTAGTGTTGGTTAGAATGTTGATTAGTGTTGGTTAAAATGTTGGTGAGTGTTGGTTAGAATGTTGAGTGTTGGTTTGAATGTTGATGTGAGTGTTGGTTTGAATGTTGATGTGAGTGTTGGTTCGAATGTTGGTGAGTGTTGGTTCGAATGTTGATTAGTGTTGGTTCGAATGTTGATGTGAGTGTTGGTTCGAATGTTGATTAGTGTTGGTTAGAATGTTGATTAGTGTTGGTTCGAATGTTGGTGTGAGTGTTGGTTCGAATGTTGGTGTGAGTGTTGGTTCGAATGTTGGTGTGAGTGTTGGTTAAAATGTTGGTGAGTCTTGGTTAGAATGTTGAGTGTTGGTCGAATGTTGGTGTGAGTGTTGGTTAAAATGTTGGTGAGTCTGGTTAGAATGTTGAGTGTTGGTTCGAATGTTGGTGTGAGTGTTGGTTAAAATGTTGGTGAGTCTTGGTTAGAATGTTGAGTGTTGGTTCGAATGTTGGTGTGAGTGTTGGTTAAAATGTTGGTGAGTCTTGGTTAGAATGTTGAGTGTTGGTTCGAATGTTGGTGTGAGTGTTGGTTCGAATGTTGGTGTGTGCTGGTTCGAATGTTGGTGAGTGTTGGTTCGAATGTTGGTGTGAGTGTTGGTTCGAATGTTGGTGTGAGTGTTGGTTCGCATGTTGGTGAGTGTTGGTTCGAATGTTGATGTGAGTGTTGGTTCGCATGTTGGTGAGTGTTGGTTCGAATGTTGGTGTGAGTGTTGGTTCGAATGTTGATGTGAGTGTTGGTTCGAATGTTGATGTGAGTGTTGGTTCGAATGTTGATGTGAGTGTTGGTTCGAATGTTGGTGTGAGTGTTGGTTCGAATGTTGATGTGAGTGTTGGTTCGAATGTTGGTGAGTGTTGGTTTGAATGTTGATTTGAGTGTTGGTTCGAATGTTGGTGAGTGTTGGTTTGAATGTTGATGTGAGTGTTGGTTCGAATGTTGATGTGAGTGTTGGTTCGAATGTTGGTGTGAGTGTTGGTTTGAATGTTGGTGAGTGTTGGTTCGATTGTTGGTGTGAGTGTTGGTTCGAATGTTGGTGAGTGTTGGTTAGAATGTTGGTGAGTGTTGGTTCGAATGTTGGTGTGAGTGTTGGTTCGAGTGGCAGTGCAAGTGTTGGCTCAAATGTTGGTTAGGGTGTTGGCGTGACTGATGCTTCAAGTGTTGGTGTGAATGTTGGTTTGATTGTTGGTGTGAGTGTTGGTTCGATGGCAGTGCAAGTGTTGTTGTGAGTGTTGTCGTGCGAGTGTTGGTTTGAGTGATGCCAGTGGTGGTGTGAGTGTTGTGTTACAGTGTTGTTAGATTGTGTTGCTTAGTTAGTGTTAGATTGTGTTTTTTTGTTACGTTGTTGTTAGAGTGCATTGTTTTGTTGTGTTGTTATGGTGTTGTTAGAGTGTTTTGTTCGGTTATGGTAGTGTTGTATTGTCTTCTTACAGTGTTGTTGGGGTGTGTTGTGTTGTTATGGTGTTGGAGTGTGTTGTGTTGTTACGGTGTTGTTGGAGTGTGTTGTTTTGTTATGGTGGTGTTGTATTGTGTTGTTACAGTGTTGTTGGAGTGTGTTGTTATGGTGTTGTTAGAGTGTTTTGTTCGGTTATGGTAGTGTTGTATTGTCTTCTTAGAGTGTTGTTGGAGTGTGTTGTGTTATGGTGTTGTTGGAATGGGTTGTGTTGTTACAGTGTTGTTAGAGTGTGTTGTTTTGTTATGGTGGTGTTGTATTGTGTTGTTACAGTGTTGTTTGAGTGTGTTGTGTTGATATAGTGTTGTTGGCCTTTGTAGTGTTGTTACGGTGTCGTCAGAGTGTGTAGTGTTGTTATAGTGTTGTTGGAGTGTGTAGTGTTGTTACGGTGTTGTCAGTGTGCGTTGTTTTGTTATGGTGGTGTTGTATTGTGTTGTTACGGTGTTGTTAGAGTGTGTAGTGTTGTTACGGTGTTGTCAGTGTGTGTTGTTTTGTTATGGTATTTTCTTCACTACCCCCTGAATGAAACACAGCAGAAGTTGCATTTGTAGCTAACAAACATCACGAACAGGATTAAACACGTTTATCTGAGCTAGAACTGCTGTGAATGTTGGGACATAAATGAAAGATGATTTTATAACAACCGAAATATTGATCATCGTGGTCATTAGCAGAAACTGACCGTATCTCAGTGTAACGGCACTACTAACACTAGCATCTCATAAACATCTCCGCTGCTGCTAATGTGTCTGCTCAGTGACAGCAAGCCACAGCAATGTGTGGAACCTTTTCACAGTATATAGAACCTGATTAAAGAACCTTATCAAAGAACTTGATTAAAGACCCTTACTAAAGAACCTTATTAAAGAACCTTACTAAAGAACCTGATTAAAGAACCTTATTGAAGAACCTGATTGAAGTTTTGTGAGGAGCTGGTCCTCCAATACTGTGGCTCTCATGCATTTCTATGCTTGCGCCTCTTTTCAGGCCAATAGTGGACAGTGTGTTGACCTTTGACCCTTCCTCTGTTTTTGCAGGAGCTGCAGATGGACTTTGGGCCGGACTCTCCCACTGGCTCCCTGCTCGGGGGCAATAAGTGAGTTCATGACATTAAGCATTCAGAATGTATACAATAAAAAATAAACACATCACAATAAACACACCATCACAATAAACACACCATCACAATAAACACAGCATCACAATAAACACACCATCACAATAAACACACCATCACAATACACACCATCACAATAAACACAGCATCACAATAAACACATCATCACAATAAACACACCATCACAATACACACACCATCACAATACACACCATCACAATAAACACAGCATCACAATAAACACATCATCACAATAAACACACCATCACAATAAACACAGCATGACAATAAACACATCTTTAGAAGAAACACACCATCACAATAAACACAGCATCACAATAAACACATCATCCGAAGAAACACATCACAATACACATCATCACAATAAACACACCATCACAATAAACACAGCATGACAATAAACACATCATCACAATAAACACAGCATCAAAATAAACACACCATCACAATAAACACATCATCAGAAGAAACACATCACAATAAACACATCACAATAAACACAGCATCACAATAAACACATCATGAGAAGAAAAACATCATCACGATAAACACATCATCACAATAAACACATCATGAGAAGAAAAACATCATCACAATAAACACATCATCAGAATAAACACATCATCACAATAAACACATCTTTAGAAGAAACACATCACAATAAACACACCATCACAATAAACACATCATGACAATAAACACACCATCACAATACACACACCATCAGAATAAACACATCATCACAATAAACACATCTTTAGAAGAAACACATCACAATAAACACACCATCACAATAAACACATCATGACAATAAACACACCATCACAATAAACACATCATCAGAATAAACACATCATCACAATAAACACATCTTTAGAAGAAACACATCACAATAAACACACCATCACAATAAACACATCATCACAATAAACACATCATCACAATAAACACATCATCAGAAGAAACACATCATCACAATAAACACACCATCACAATAAACACACCATCACAATAAACACACCATCACAATACACACACCATCACAATACACACACCATCACAATAAACATATCATCACAATAAACAAACCATCACAATAAACATATCATCACAATAAACACACCATCACAATAAACACACTATCACAATAAACACATCACAATAAACACATCATCACAATAAACACACCATCACAATACACACCATCACAATAAAGACAGCATCACAATAAACACATCATCACAATAAACACACCATCACAATACACACACCATCACAATACACACCATCACAATAAACACAGCATCACAATAAACACATCATCCGAAGAAACACATCACAATAAACACATCATCACAATAAACACACCATCACAATAAACACAGCATGACAATAAACACATCATCACAATAAACACAGCATCAAAATAAACACACCATCACAATAAACACATCATCAGAAGAAACACATCACAATAAACACACCATCACAATAAACACATCATCACAATAAACACACCATCACAATAAACACATCATCACAATAAACACATCATGAGAAGAAAAACATCATCACAATAAACACATCATCACAATAAACACACCATCACAATAAACACACCATCACAATAAACACATCATCAGAAGAAACACATCACAATAAACACACCATCACAATAAAAACAGCATGACAATAAACACACCATCACAATAAACACATCATCAGAAGAAACACATCACAATAAACACACCATCACAATAAACACATCATCACAATAAACACACCATCACAATAAACACATCATCACAATAAACACACCATCACAATAAACACACCATCACAATAAACACACCATCACAATAAACACATCATCAGAAGAAACACATCACAATAAACACACCATCACAATAAAAACAGCATGACAATAAACACACCATCACAATAAACACATCATGAGAAGAAAAACATCATCACAATAAACACATCATCACAGTAAACACACCATCACAATAAACACATCATGAGAAGAAAAACATCATCACAATAAACACATCATCACAGTAAACACACCATCACAATAAACACACCATCACAATAAACACATCATCAGAAGAAACACATCACAATAAACACACCATCACAATAAACACATCATCACAATAAACACATCTTTAGAAGAAACACATCACAATAAACACACCATCACAATAAACACATCTTTAGAAGAAACACACCATCACAATAAACACATCTTTAGAAGAAACACATCACAATAAACACACCATCACAATAAACACATCTTTAGAAGAAACACACCATCACAATAAACACATCTTTAGAAGAAACACATCACAATAAACACACCATCACAATAAAAACAGCATCACAATAAACACACCATCACAATAAACACATCATCACACTACAGTCTGAAATATCAGACGCACATAAACATGAGCGATGATAATTTTTTTCCCCAAGTAATTTTGAAATAATATGATTCTGATATCATCATTCATCTCTAAGCATTTCTCACTTTCTATAAGGATTAGAGTCAAAGTCAGAATTACCCAAAACACACACTCTTTATGGACTAGGACTAGGATTAGTGTTTCCCCATAACACTGTCTTTATGGATTAGGACTAGGATTAGTGTTTCCCCATAACACTGTCTTTATGGATTAGGACTAGGATTAGTGTTTCCCCATAACACTGTCTTTATGGATTAGGACTAGGATTAGTGTTTCCCCATAACACTGTCTTTATGGACTAGGACTAGGATTAGTGTTTCCCCATAACACTGTCTTTATGGACTAGGACTAGGATTAGTGTTCCCCATAACACTGTCTTTATGGACTAGGACTAGGATTAGTGTTTCCCCATAACACTGTCTTTATGGACTAGGACTAGGATTAGTGTTCCCCATAACACTGTCTTTATGGACTAGGACTAGGATTAGTGTTTCCCCATAACACTGTCTTTATGGACTAGGACTAGGATTAGTGTTTCCCCATAACACTGTCTTTATGGACTAGGACTAGGATTAGTGTTTCCCCATAACACTGTCTTTATGGACTAGGACTAGGATTAGTGTTTATCCATAACACTGTCTTTATGGATTAGGACTAGGATTAGTGTTCCACATAACAATGTCTTTATGGATTAGGATTAGGATTAGTTTATCCCCATAACACTATCTTTATGGATTAGGATTAGGATTCGTTTTTCCCTATAACACTGTCTTTATGGATTAGGACTAGGATTAGTGTTTCCCCATAACACTTTCTTTATGGATTAGGATTGGTGTTAGTGTAAGGTCAGAGGTGACAGTGTTTGTTCACTCCACACACATATACACACAGTGCTGCTGTAGGCAGAGTGTCTGTGTGTGTGTTGTGTGTGTGTTTGTGAGTGTGAGTGTGTGATGAGCAGAAGGTTGAGAGAGACAGATGGAGAGCAGTGAGTGTGTGTGTGTGTGTGTGTGTGTGTGTGTGTGTGTGTGTGTGTGTGAGATCACACGATGAGAGTGAGTGTGTGAGTGTGTCGCCTGAGGCCATCTGTTACACACACGCTCATTCTCATCCTGTGATCAGGATTATTTATTTATTTTTTGTTTGTTTGTTTGTGTAGCCGCTGTAGATTTGTTTTAGAGTGTTTGTTCAGCTTCAGTTGAGCAGATTAAACTCTGTGTGTTTCTGAGTAACACTTAGAATCAAGACGAGCAGAATATGTACAGCTGTGTGTGGAAGTTTTAATCACTGGGAAAATGATATTTAAACAGTTGTTTATCTGGGCAGTCCGTCTTTATTCACTCAGAAAAAAACACTAACGTTACAATAAACACAGACAAAATTAACGCAATAAGTAGATTCTTGGCAGTGTGCCTGTAGTTAATGATCCAATAACTGCTTTATCTAATCAATACTTCACTGTGTTAAATCAGGAGCTGCTGGTGGGATTTAATAAATCCTGGAGGGGAAAAATGGAACCAAACTTTCTTCTTCAAACTGTTTACTTGTATTTATTGTAATGGTGTGATTATTTTCACACACTTACTGACCAGATACCAATCATTTTAAATAATGTGCTCAGCGCTGAACACACACACACACACACACACACACACACACACACACACACTAATCCAGTTTAGTGAGTTTAAGGCCTGAGAGTTGCTCCTCACTCTGAGAACTGATAATAAAATGAACGCAGCCTTTTATTTTGGAAAATTAACTAAGACAAATGTTACACACAATCGAGAGAAAAAAAATCGACCTAAAATAAAAGTATGCTTTTAAAATCTTTTGAGGAGATTAAAAACTAGACTTTATGTGCAGGACAGTAATCTGGGTGGTCCGGGATGGTCCGAGAGTGGTCCAGCAGTGGCGTACAGCCAGCACATTGCCACCTTATCGAGCCAGCAGACCGATGCTGCTCTCTAGGCTGTGAGGGAAAGCAGCACTGCGACGCGCTAACTGAGAGGATTAGCATGAACTGGCATCGTCTACCTGGGACTGAATCTGAGCACAGCTACTGAATTTAGTCAACACATCAATACCCTGATAGAGCAGGAGGAGGGGGTGGGGGAGGAGGAGGAGGAGGAGGGGGAGGGGGAGGAGGAGGGAGCACCTTCTGTTGGCAACTATTTCTATATAAATGAGTTTTAGAATTTTCACATTTTGGCAGAAGGGTATCTCATGCTAAGCTAGCTGTATTCGTCTGGATAGCAGGAATAGCTGAGATTAGCTGGTGAGGACTGAAAATCACGTCTGAGAAAAGTTAGATCTTCAGTGATCAGCAGATGGTCGTATATCTGCTCCAACCTCTCTTTAAGCCCCATGTGTCAAACTCATGACTCAGGCCCGCCACACAATCCTGTCCGGCCCGCAAAAGTATATGAATTTTCTGTTTATATTAGCTCGTTTCCCAGTGCGCTGCACTACGGTCCCCAGCATGCACTGCAGCGGTTACACCACAGTTCCACACCAGTCACATCACAAACAATCAGCTGAAGTTCGACCCAGATAAACGCTTCACATTAGCTCAGCAACTGAGCCGAGTCCTAATGAGCGTGCAGCAGAGAAATGTTCAGAGTCCATGTAGAATTTCAGGCCCGTTAAAAGTGTCTGTGGTTTACTGTTGAGGTTTTTGCGTATTTGCGTAACAGTGGCCAGTTTAGCACAACAGAAATGAAAAATCAAATATTTTATTTTCCTCTGGCCGCAGATTTGATGAGATTTTTTAATGCAGCCCTTTTACTGCTTGAATTTGACACCCCTGCCTTAAACTGTCCACTGCTGAAGGTTGCAGTTAGCTAAACAAGCTAAACCAGCCAACTAACTAAACTAGCCAGCTAACTAAACTAGCTAACTGTCTGTTTTTATTTCCAGGAGTCTGCTGAAGTCTGTGGAGGAAGAGCTGCACCAGAGGTACTCTCTCTCTCTCTCTCTCTCTCTCTCTCTCTCTCTCTCTCCGTCTCTCTCTCTGTCTCTCTGTCTCTCTCTCTGTCTCTGTCTCTCTCTCTCTGTCTGTCTCTCTCCGTCTCTCTCTCTGTCTCTCTCTTTGTCTCTGTCTCTCTCTCTCTCTCTCTTTCTCTCTCTCTCTGTCTCTCTCTGTCTGTTTCTCTCCGTCTCTCTCTCTCTGTCTCTCTCTCTCTCTCTCTCTCTCTCTCTCTCTCTCTCTCTCTCTCTGTCTCTGTCTCTGTTTCTCTCCGTCTCTCTCTCTCTGTCTCTCTCTCTGTCTCTCTGTCTCTCTCTCTCTGTCTCTCTCTCTGTCTCTATCTCTCTCTCTCTCTCTCTCTCTCTCTCTCTCTCTCTCTCTCCTTTCTGCATGTCCTTCACCCCCCATCACTCCGGCTTTCCTCTGATCAATATTTGATGTGCCCTATCCTTGGCCCTGCCCGTCTTCCGGCCTGAATCGCTGAGCTGATTTTCCGCTCTGTGAAGTTCGTCCAGCGCTGAGCAGAAGATAAATGAAACAAATGAACAGAATTCAGAAAATCCATCACAGACGAGGCTGAACTTGGTTTCCCGTTCGTCAGCTTCTTATTCAGATTTTTCACTCCACCTTAAATGGTGTGGCAGTTACATTCCAGCTCCGTTAAGGTGGACTGGAAAATTGGAATAAGAATAAGAATGATTTGATTTTAACCTGAGTAAAATCCTTCTTTTCCTCTTCTTCTCCCTCTTCTTCTCTCTCAGGGGTCACGAGGCTCATTTAGGAGATGATGAGGACGACGAAGATGATAAAGCACATCGGTACGTTTCTCCTCTTTCTGCTGTAAAGTTTCCTACACTTTCATGTGTGCAGCTGCAGTAGCTGGATGGATTTTCCAGACAGCTTTGCGAGTTTGGATTTTGACCAGACTAGAGTCCATTCCTCCACGCCAGGACCTCATCAGATCCAAATTCAGACCTGTGTCCTGCATGAGCATCAGGGAACTTCAGCAGTGCTTCAGTAGCTTCACATGAATGCAGAGCAGAGTTCATGTGGGGCGTAAAAGCAGAGCAACGTTCCTCTGAAGGAACTCGTCACAGGTTGAGTGCCGTTTCTTACTGTAAGCAGAAGAATCAGGCGCTTAGGGCTCCAGGCCACTAGAGGGCAGTGTGAGTGTGTCCTTTTCTTTAATGGTGTTCGGTAAGTGAGTAGGTGTTTATCCATGCAGTTTATCCATGCAGTTGAAATGAATAAGTCAGGGGCTAATTAGCTAGCGTCTAGCATTAGAGGTGTTGGGCTAACTCACATTAAGTTGCTAGCTAGCTACTAGCCTAGCGGTCAAAAGTGTTATGGACTGCCTGACACGAGCAACAGATGATTTTAATAAAGTCAGTCACGTCTTTATTTTACAGTACAGTAGATATGAAATATAATAGGTGTACGTAGGGTCACCACCTCTTCAACGAGCCAAAACCGGACACCCCTGGCTGGTTGGCTGGTTTGTTGAGATTGTCAGGTCAGTTTATGTTGATCTGAAGCCGAAACGCTGTCATGTTTAATGATGATTGACATCCTGCAGATCTTCGGTGATCCAAGCCTTCAGTTCTTCATTTTGAAGCTGTTCTTCTTGGAAACATTATAATAGTTAAAAAACACCAATTATGCTAAATAACACAGTTGGCCTAAAAATCCCTTTGTGGGGGGTAGGAGTGACAAACAAACTGACCAGTGTGATTTTATTGTTTGTTTTTCCCCCACAATTCGAGAGAACATTACAAAAACCCAACAAATGACAGTCAAAACTGGACACCCGGACGTACAGCCTGAAAATGGACTGTCCGGGTGAAAACCGGTTGGGTGGCAACCCAGTCTGTACGGCAGTGGTTACTCAGAATTTCAGGGTCAGTATGTAGTTGTTACGGTAACACTTGGTGCACAAACTGCAAGGTCAGTAAGTGAGTAAAGAGGAACTCATATATCAGGAATATTTCAGTATTTAATGCTAAGAAGCTGCACAGTAGTGGTAACTCCTTCAGTCTGCTTCAGTAAATACTTGCTTATGTGAGTAAGTAACTAAAATGAGCCTGTAGGTACTAATTAAGTATTTCTATACACACCTGCTGGATTTTATGTAGGTTACTATATACATGCAAATTACGTAGCATGCAGTGATCGTTAGTGCTGCATATTTGCTTCATAAATACCAAGTACTGTAAAATAAAGTGCTACCAAGTTTTGTTGTTAAACCGTCTGTGTTACTTGGTTGTTTTCCATTGTTGCATACAAAATAATATTATTAAGGTTTAGAAATTTACTCTGAATTTGACTTTACAAATTGGCGTATTATTATAAATATCATGATTTCAGCTCATTTATCTGTTAAATGAAGAGTCAACAGAATGAATAAATTAATTAAACTCTTCAGGTTTTATGTCTTAATTTGCATCAAAAGCAGCTCATTGTGTTTTATTGTACTTTGTAGTTCTGTGTAGTCAGCACTGCTCAGCCATGATGGCTGAAACTAGACTGTAGTTTAGACTGCAGGCCAATTTTAATGTAACTGCACATGCTCAGTTGGGTAATTTGTAGCATTAGCATTAGCATTAGCCATGTGTTTGCTTTCTAATGATGGCATTTCTGTTCTGTCTCAGCACGAAAAGCTCCACCATCAGGCCTAAATTCCCCCCACCACCGCCCCCCAAGGTAAGGCACTGATATATGCTGAAGAAAATGTGAAGACTTATTGAGTGAAGAGTGAAAAGTTGTGGTATTGTGGGTCAAAATATGGCACTATATGTATGATATATATGGATCCGGCTGCTGTTCCAGTGTGTAAAGCTAAAGTAAAGCTCCTGTAAACAGGGCTGAAAAACTCGCTGTGGTAAATTGAGGTTTGCTAATGTTAATCCTGCTAATCCTGATCTTTGTTTTACAGCCGAGGCCCAGTGACGGCCCTTCTGCTGACCACGATGACCACCAGGGCACCATAAAGCGCTGCCCGGAGGGCCAGAGTCCGACACGATCAACCAGTAACGTGCCCCCCCGACCTCCGCCCCCACGGCTGCCCCAACACAGCTCCAGCAGCTTAGGTATTGAAGCTAATCAAGACAACCTTGGCACCTGGGACGCCCCAGGGGATCATGGGAATTGTAGTCAGTATGGAGAATTGCTGCAGTTCGAGGATGAGGATGATGAGGAAGAACGAGATGAGGAGGGAGACAGTAAGATTCCAAAATTAAGTCACCCCCCCATGTAACCCCCAATGCCCCCATCAATACCCCACCATCAACACCCTCCCCACTTCCACACCTCCCATTAATACCCCCATCAGCATTTCCCCACATCCTGTCAACCACACCCCAAACCTCTCGCTGCCTCCATTAACAACCCCCCAACAACACCCCCCCACTCTCCCCATTAAAGCCCCAGAGAACCTAAATCTGTTTTCTTTCTAAGTAGGCTTGTTGTCACACAGTATTCACTTACCCAGTACTTCCTGTGAAAACCTTTCCAGTGGCCACTAACTGGCTGATGTATTTCAGCAAAATTCTCCTCTTTTGATGTAAACTGGGTGGTTCTAATCTTAGGTCATGCATATGTAAGTAGTAACCCCACCAAACACAAGTCTGATATGGTTTACTCTGAGAGAAACTTACAGAGAGAAAGCTAATCGACAAGTGAAAGCTAACCAGTAAGCAAAAGCTAACCACCAAGAGAAATATAACCACCAAGCGAAAGCTAACCACCAAAAGAAATATAACCACCAAGCGAAAGCTAACCACTAAGCGAAAGCTAACCTCCAAGTGAAAGCTAACCACTAACCGAAAGCTAACCACCAAGAGAAAGCTAACCACCAATTGAAAGCTAACCACCAAGTGAAAGCTAACCACTAACCGAAAGCTAACCACCAAGCGAAAGCTAACAACCAAGTGAAAGCTAACCACCAAGAGAAAGCTAACCACTAAGCAAAAGCTAACCACCAAGAGAAAGATAACCACCAAGTGAAAGCTAAGCACTAAGCGAAAGCTAAGCACCAAGAGAAAGCTAACCACCAAGTGAAAGCTAACCACTAAGCGAAAGCTAAGCACCAAGAGAAAGCTAACCACCAAGTGAAAGCTAACCACTAAGCAAAAGCTAAGCACCAAGAGAAAGCTAACCTCCAAGAGAAAGCTAACCTCCAAGAGAAAGCTAACCACCAAGTGAAAGCTAACCACTAAGCGAAAGCTAAGCACCAAGAGAAAGCTAACCACCAAGTGAAAGCTAACCACTAAGCGAAAGCTAAGCACCAAGAGAAAGCTAACCTCCAAGAGAAAGCTAACCTCCAAGAGAAAGCTAACCTCCAAGTGAAAGCTAACCTCCAAGTGAAAGCTAACCACTAAGCAAAAGATAACCTCCAAGTGAAAGATACCAACCAAGCGAAAGCTAACCTCCAAGACAAAGCTAACCTAGCAAGCATAGCTGAGCTAGCTTAAACGCCCATTTGTCTATCTGTTGTTCAACGAGCCTCACTAGTGTTTCCTGGATGCAGCTCCAGCAATAAAGCGAATAAGAACCTTATGCTGGACTGTCAGGCCCTGTTCATTAGAATATTAGGCCACGCCCACACAGTTCTCAGATCAGATCGTTAACTGAGAGTTTAACACTCCTAATCAATGTCCCCCCACCCCCATTAACCCCCCCATGAGCACTCAGCTGCAGCCGACTGTAGAAGCAGCAGCTAAAACAGATCCTGACTGAACTGGATTGATGGTGTGAAATGATTCTGCTATGAAAGCACATCCGATCTTTAATACGTTCTACGTGACTGATATTGATTAGATAACAGTGTGGAAGTTTATTGGAACAGTGACCTGTCAGTGTCATTTACCTGCTGGACTCCAGGTGGTGCTGCAGGTCTGAGCTGTGCTCTGAATGTGCAGATTTCATTAGCTGTAAAATCAGAGCTGATGTGTTAAAGGTTAAAATGCTGATTTAAGCTGGTTTTATTTCTCCTCCTGCAGCTGCTCACGCCTCACTCACTCACTCACTCACTCACTCACTGACTCACTCACTCACTCACTCACTGACTCACTCACTCACTCACTCACTCACCTAATCTTTAGGTTCTCATTCATTCTGGTGCACAACATCTAGAACAGTCAGATATTTTGTTGTTTTTGTGTTCTCTTTGATCTAGAACGCTCTTCAGGAGCTGTGATTGTTCCATTATGTGATTTGTTTCTGGTGCTGCAGTTTCTATCTTCAGGTGGATTGAAGCTGTTTTACTGAGTCAGCACTAATGAAAGCTCTGTTGGTCCGCAGGGAACGGAGTGAGTGTGTGTGACGTGACTGTGAGTGTGTGTGTGGAGAGCGAGGCGTCCAGTCTGAGCTCGACTGCCCCCCCGCACAGGGACAGGAAGGACATTCCGGTAAACTCTGCTGAAGATGCTAAATTAAAATGTTTTAAAGTGTAAAACTCTCAGACTGAGCTGGTGTTTATTGTCTCTGCCTGACTGTTTATTTTACACAGAAGCCGCTGAGTAACGGCCTCCCGCCGACTCCCAAAGTCCACGTAAGTCCACATTTACCCTTACAGGACTGACTGAGGCAGTTTTATCAGACACCGTGTTGAGTCCTGATTGTGTGTGTGTGTGTGTGTGTGTGTGTGTGTGTGTGTGTGTGTGTGCAGATGGGGGCGTGTTTCTCCAAAGTTTTTAATGGCTGCCCACTGAAAATTCACTGTGCTACTTCCTGGATCAACCCAGACACAAGAGGTAAAATAAACAACCCATTAATCCCTAAACCTAAACCCTAAACCCTAAGCCTTACATTCTAAACCTAAACGTAGACAAAAGAAGTACAGTAAACAACACGTTAAACCCTAAACCTAAACTTAAACCCCAAATCTTAAAAACTTACCTTACAATCTAACCCTAATTCCTACACAAGAGATACAGTACACAGTCACTGAGCTCTAAACTTTACATTTATAACCACAAACTCTGAAAACTCATGAAACTCGTATGATAGCAGTAACAGTGTTCACTGCACCTCGTACTGAAATGTCTTTGCTGTAAAGGGACGGTTTCAGGTCTCCTGCTCTGATCACGTTCTCTTATTAGTGCTGCTGCTCCTGTTATAAACAGCAGAGGGACAGTGTAACTGTAACAGCAGAGGGACAGTGTAACTGTAACAGCAGAGGGACAGTGTTACTGTAACAGCAGAGAGACAGTGTTACTGTAACAGCAGAGGGACAGTGTAACTGTAACAGCAGAGAGACAGTGTAACTGTAACATCAGAGGGACTGTTACTGTAACATCAGAGGGACAGTGTAACTGTAACAGCAGAGAGACAGTGTAACTGTAACAGCAGAGAGACAGTGTTACTGTAACATCAGAGGGACAGTGTTACTGTAACAGCAGAGAGACAGTGTTACTGTAACAGCAGAGGGACAGTGTTACTGTAACAGCAGAGAGACAGTGTTACTGTAACAGCAGAGAGACAGTGTTACTGTAACATCAGAGGGACAGTGTAACTGTAACAGCAGAGAGACAGTGTAACTGTAACATCAGAGGGACTGTTACTGTAACATCAGAGGGACAGTGTAACTGTAACAGCAGAGAGACAGTGTTACTGTAACAGCAGAGAGACAGTGTTACTGTAACAGCAGAGAGACAGTGTTACTGTAACATCAGAGGGACAGTGTAACTGTAACAGCAGAGAGACAGTGTAACTGTAACATCAGAGGGACTGTTACTGTAACATCAGAGGGACAGTGTAACTGTAACAGCAGAGAGACAGTGTAACTGTAACAGCAGAGAGACAGTGTTACTGTAACATCAGAGGGACAGTGTAACTGTAACAGCAGAGAGACAGTGTAACTGTAACAGCAGAGAAACAGTGTTACTGTAACATCAGAGGGACAGTGTTACTGTAACAGCAGAGAGACAGTGTTACTGTAACAGCAGAGGGACAGTGTTACTGTAACAGCAGAGAGACAGTGTTACTGTAACAGCAGAGAGACAGTGTTACTGTAACATCAGAGGGACAGTGTAACTGTAACAGCAGAGAGACAGTGTAACTGTAACATCAGAGGGACTGTTACTGTAACATCAGAGGGACAGTGTAACTGTAACAGCAGAGAGACAGTGTAACTGTAACAGCAGAGAGACAGTGTAACTGTAACAGCAGAGGGACAGTGTAACTGTAACAGCAGAGGGACAGTGTTACTGTAACAGCAGAGGGACAGTGTTACTGTAACAGCAGAGGGACAGTGTAACTGTAACAGCAGAGAGACAGTGTTACTGTAACAGCAGAGGGACAGTGTTACTGTAACAGCAGAGAGACAGTGTAACTGTAACAGCAGAGAGACAGTGTTACTGTAACATCAGAGGGACAGTGTAACTGTAACAGCAGAGAGACAGTGTTACTGTAACATCAGAGGGACAGTATAACTGTAACAGCAGAGAGACTGTTACTGTAACATCAGAGGGACAGTGTAACTGTAACATCAGAGAGACAGTGTAACTGTAACAGCAGAGAGACAGTGTTACTGTAACAGCAGAGGGACAGTGTAACTGTAACAGCAGAGGGACAGTGTTACTGTAACAGCAGAGGGACAGTGTAACTGTAACAGCAGAGAGACAGTGTTACTGTAACAGCAGAGGGACAGTGTTACTGTAACAGCAGAGAGACAGTGTAACTGTAACAGCAGAGAGACAGTGTTACTGTAACATCAGAGGGACAGTGTAACTGTAACAGCAGAGAGACAGTGTTACTGTAACATCAGAGGGACAGTATAACTGTAACAGCAGAGAGACTGTTACTGTAACATCAGAGGGACAGTGTTACTGTAACATCAGAGGGACAGTGTAACTGTAACAGCAGAGAGACTGTTACTGTAACATCAGAGGGACAGTGTAACTGTAACAGCAGAGAGACTGTTACTGTAACATCAGAGGGACAGTGTTACTGTAACATCAGAGGGACAGTGTAACTGTAACAGCAGAGAGACTGTTACTGTAACATCAGAGGGACAGTGTAACTAACAGCAGAGAGACAGTGTAACAGTAACAGTAGAGGAACAGTGTACACTGTAACATCAAAGAGACAGTCTAAACTGTAACATCAAAGAGACAGTCTAAACTGTAACAGCAGAGAGGCAGTGTAAACTGTAACAGCAGAGGGACAGTGTAACTGTAACAGCAGAGGGACAGTGTAACTGTGACAGCGGAGAGACAGTGTAACTGTAACATCAGAGAGACAGTCTAAACTGTAACAGCAGAGGGACAGTGTAACTGTAACATCAGAGAGACAGTCTAAACTGTAACAGCAGAGGGACAGTGTAACTGTAACATCAGAGAGACAGTCTAAACTGTAACAGCAGAGGGACAGTGTAACTGTAACAGCAGAGGGACAGTGTAACTGTGACAGCGGAGAGACAGTGTAACTGTAACATCAGAGAGACAGTCTAAACTGTAACAGCAGAGGGACAGTGTTACTGTAACAGCAGAGGGACAGTGTAACTGTGACAGCGGAGAGACAGTGTAACTGTAACATCAGAGAGACAGTCTAAACTGTAACAGCAGAGAAGCAGTGTAAACTGTAACAGCAGAGGAACAGTGTAACTAACAGCAGAGGAACAGTGTAACTAACAGCACAGGGACAGTGTAACTGTAACAATGGAGGAACAGTGTAACTGTAACAGCAGAGGGGCAGTGTATCCGTAACAGCGGAGAGACAGTGTAAACTGTAACAGCAGCAGCCACAGTGTAACTGTAACAGTGGAGGAACAGTGTAAACTGTAAAATGTACTAAAGGATGTGATGATTAAAGGGTGCAATGATGTAATAATCAGTGATTGACTCACTGCAGCTGACCTGATTGTAAACTGGACAGAGACTGACTCTTGTGTTGTTGTTTAGATCAGTATCTGATCTTCGGAGCGGAGGAAGGAATCTATACCTTAAACCTTAATGAGCTTCATGAGACATCGATGGAGCAGGTGGGAGACCTATTTATTGGAGTGTGTCACGGTTTATAGGAGTGTATGTTGGTTTATCTGAGTGTCTGATGGTTTATAGGAGTGTGTATTGATCCACAATTGTTTTGTTGTTTATATGTGTCATATTTGTACTTATGAAGCAGATAAAGCTGCAGATAAATTAGATTTATACCCTCTTATATATGATCTACAGTGGCTGCAGTGCAGACCTTCATTCCCAAAAAGTTCAGACAGTGTGAGATAATAAAAGCAGAAAACAGTGATTAGTAAATTCTATTAGACTTCTGTCACATAAAATAATAAAACATGATTTTTTTTTGTTTTATCTTATCAGATTTACTGTTTTTAGGTATATTCCATATCTGATGCTGCAACACGTTTCAAAATAGTTGTCTGAGACAGACGGTGTTATAACGGTTTTCAAAGTGTTTCCAAACCCGTGCAACGATATCCATCATAGAAACATGCTGATCTTTAATAAAGTGCCGTCTGAGGGATCAAAGGTCACAGTGGTTTTTGGCCTTTTCCTTTACATACAGATTTCCCTGAATCCCTGAATTCTGAATATCTGAATTCATTTCAGAATCAGTCTATATTTACACAAAACGAAAGTTGATGAGGTAAAACATGAAATATTTGTTTCAAGTGGATTTCTAGTCACATTGTGGTGTTCTGTTGTCTGTGTTGCAGTTGTTTCCGCGGAGATGTACATGGCTGTACGTGATGAACAACACTTTACTCTCCATCTCTGGTGAGAGCGACTGAGCGATCTGGTCTCGGGTTTAAATGATATGTGTGTGTTGTGTGGGTTGTGTTAAAGTAGGTGTGTTTTTTCAGGTAAAGCATCTCAGCTCTACTCGCACAGCCTGATGGGATTATTCGAGCATGCGAGGCAGAGACAGAAGCTTCCTGTTGCCATACCGACACACAAGCTGCCTGACAGAATCATCCCAAGGAAGTTTTCTGTTTCCTCTAAGATCGCGGACACTAAAGGCTGTCAGAGGTGCTGTGTAGGTGAGCACATTTACAGCTTGTTCTCCTCAGTTCCTCATTCGCTCCTCAACGTTCTCCTGCTGCCCGTCTGAGCTCACTGTGTGGCGTTCAGGCAGGATTCACTGAGCAAATACATACTCTGATTTACATGAACCTGACTGTGTTTATAATCAGAACAATTCACCCAGAGATGTTTGTATAAAAGCAAATGTTGGTTTTTCAGTGAGGAACCCGTACACCGGTCATAAGTACCTGTGTGGGGCACTACAGGCCAGCGTGATCCTGCTGGAGTGGGTGGAGCCAATGCAGAAATTCATGCTAGTCAAAGTGAGTCTACGTTAATTTTACTTAAAGTGGAGCTGGAGACTTGGTGGGTTTGGGTTAGTTGTTTTTGGGTTATGGTCAGATGATTTGTATTATTTTAAATAGAAACTATTTTTGTAAATATCATGAAAAATCATATTAGTCATTTTCTAAAAAGGATCCTCCTAAACTAATAATACTTCAGTGGTATATAGGCCAAATTTCACTGTTTAAAAAAATCAGCATTACATAATTTGGCCTCACAGTGGTTCTAAATATGGCCCTTCCTGCAGAGCCCACTGACGGTCAGATATATCGAGTTTAAATATCTCTGAATCTTTGTGTCTCAGCACTGCGAAAAAACCATATGTGATCAATTTACTTTTTTATTAATTTTATTAAGCAAAATTCTTATTTTTTATTTCTATTGTTTATTGCAAAAACTATGAAACACAGAATCTGTGTTTGTGGGTTTCTCCCAACTCAAACTCTCATTTTGTTCTTTGTAAATTAGAGATAGGGATCTGGTTGGGATGGAGTGTAATTTTGCAGTGAAATGCACTGAAAGTCTGTGTGTGTGTGTGTGTGTGTGTGTTTCTGTGTAGACGCTGGACGTCCCCCTGCCCGTTCCTCTGCAGGTGTTTGAGATGTTGGTGGTCCCGGAGCATCTTTATCCTTTAATCTGCATGGCGGTCAGTAAAGGCTCTAAAGTCAGCCAGGTCGTCCAGTTTCACACACTCGACCCAAACTCCCCTTCACCTTGGATCACAGACTCCGGTAAATAAAGCATCACACACTCTGATAAACCATCACACACTCCTGTAAACAATGACCCACTACGATAAATAAACCATCACACTGATAAATAAACTATCATACTCCTATAAACCATCACACACATCAGTAAATAAACCATCACACACTTCAATAAAGCATCACACACTCCAATAAATAAACCATCACACACTCCATTAATTGATTACAACACGATAAATAAACCATCACACACTCTAATAAACCATCACAAACTCCGATCAAACATCACACACTCCAATAAACCATCACACACTCCAATAAACCATCACACACTCCGATAAACCATCACACACTCCAATTAATAAACCATCACAACCTCCGATCAAACATCACACACTCCAATAAACCATCACACACTCCAATAAACCATCACACACTCCGATAAACCATCACACACTCCAATTAATAAACCATCACAACCTCCGATCAAACATCACACACTCCAATAAACCATCACACACTCCAATAAACCATCACACACTCCAATAAACCATCACACACTCCGATAAACCATCACACACTCCAATTAATAAACCATCACAACCTCCGATCAAACATCACACACTCTAATAAACCATCACAAACTCCGATCAAACATCACACACTCCAATAAACCATCACACACTCCAATAAACCATCACACACTCCAATAAACCATCACACACTCCAATTAATAAACCATCACAACCTCCGATCAAACATCACACACTCCAATAAACCATCACACACTCCAATAAACCATCACACACTCCAATTAATAAACCATCACAACCTCCGATCAAACATCACACACTCCAATAAACCATCACACACTCCAATAAACCATCACACACTCCGATAAACCATCACACACTCCAGTAAACCATCACACACTCCAATAAACCATCACACATTGCGATAGTTCATCACACACTCCAATAAACTATTATACACTCCAACAAGTCATCACACACTCCAATTAATAAACCATCACACACTCCGATAAATCATCACACACTCCAATAAACCCTCACAAACTCCTATAAACTGTCACACACTCTGATAATCCATCACACACTCCAATAAACCATCACACACTCCAGTAAATAAACCATCACACACTCCATTAATTCATCACACCACAATAAATAAACCATTACACATTACGTTAATTCATGACACCACAATAAATAAACCATCACACACTCTAATAAACCATGACACACTCCAATAAACCATCACACTCCGATAAACCATCACACACTCCGATAAACCGTCACACTCCTATAAACCGTGACACACTCCAATAAACCATCACACACTGCGATAAACCATCACACACTCTGATAAATCATCACACACTCCAATAAACCATCACACACTGCAATTAATAAACCATCACACACTGTGATAAATAATCACACACTCCAATAAATAAACCATCACACACTCATCAGTAAATAAACCATCAAACACTTCAATAAATAAACCATCACACACTCATCAGTAAATAAACCATCAAACACTCCAATAAATAAACCATCACACACTCATCAGTAAATAAACCATCAAACACTTCAATAAATAAACCATCACACACCCCGATAAATCACACACTCTAATAAACCCTCACAAACTCCTATAAACCGTCACACACTCCAATAAACCATCACACACTCCTATAAACCATCACACACTCCAATAAACCATCACACACTCCTATAAACCATCACACACTCCTATAAACCATCACACACTCCTATAAACCATCACACACTCCTATAAACCACCAAACGCTCCTATAAACCATCACACACTCCTATAAACCATCACACACTCCTATAAACCACCAAACGCTCCTATAAACCTTCACACACTCTGATAAATTATATACATCAAAAAGTGCTCAAGACACTTTAAATAAAAAATGAAATGATCTGCAGCTCCTGGTGTTATTTTCTGCTTTTGTATTTGTATTTAATGTTTGTATTTATGTGTGTGTGTGTGTGTATGTGTGTGTGTGTGTGTGTGTGTGTGTTGTTTTAGATGCTGCTCAGAGCTGTGTGATCAATCTGACTCAGCTGGAGCGAGACACAATCCTCGTCTGTCTCGACCGTGAGTTTCCTCACACCTTTTATTTCACAGTTATGCAGCGCTGTAGGCAGACTGTAGGGGGAACTGTAGAGAGACTGTAGTGGCACTGTAGAAAGACTGTAGGGGGCACTGTAGAGAGACTGTAGGGGAGCTGTACAGAGACTGTAGGGGCACTGTAGGGTCTGTAGGGGGAGCTGTAGTGAGACTGTAGGGGTGCTGTAGAGAGACTGTAGGGGTGCAGTAGAAAGACTGTAGGGGCTGTGGAGAGACTGTAGTGGTGCTGTAGATAGACTGTAGGGGGCACTGTAGAGAGACTGTGGGGGCACTGTAGAGACAGTAGAGGGCTGTAGAGAGACTGTAGGGGCACTGTAGAGACAGTAGAGGGCTGTAGAGAGACTGTAGGGGCACTGTAGAGAGACTGTAGGGGCACTGTAGAGAGACTGTAGGGGCACTTTACAGACAGTATGGGGCTGTAGAGAGACAGTAGTGGGGTGCTGTAGAGAGGCAGTAGGGGATGCTGTAGGGAGACAGTAGGGTGCTATAGAGAAACAGTAGGGGGCTGTAGAGAGACTATAGTGGCACTGTAGAAAGACTGTAAGGGGCACTGTAGAGAGACTGTAGGGGAGCTGTACAGAGACTGTAGGGGCACTATAGGGTCTGTAAGGGGAGCTGTAGAGAGACTATAGTGGCACTGTAGAGAGACAGTAGGGGCACTGTAGAGACAGTAGGGGGCTGTAGAGAGACTGTAGGGGCACTGTAGAGACAGTAGGGGGCTGTAGAGAGACTGTAGGGGCACTGTAGAGAGACTGTAGGGTCCACTGTAGAGACAGTAGGGGGCTGTAGAGAGACAGTAGGGGCACTGTATTGACAGTAGGGGGCTGTAGAGGGACTGTAGGGGTGCTGTTGAGAGACTGTAGTGGGGCGCTATAGAGAGACAGTAGGGGAGCTGTACAGAGACAGTAGAGTTCTATAGAGAAACAGTAGGGGCCTGTGGAGAGACTGTAGGGGACTGTAGACAGACTGTAGGGGGCTATAGAGAGACTAGGGATGTTGTAGAGAGACTGTAGGGGCACGGTAGAGAGACTGTAGGGGCGCTGTAGAAAAACTGTAGTTGCGCTGTTGAGAGACTGTAGGGGGCTGTAGAGAGACTGTAGGGGCACTCTAGAGACAGTAGTGGGCTGTAGAGGGACTGTAGGGACACTCTAGAGACAGTAGGGGGCTGTAGAGAGACTGTAGGGGCTGTAGAGGGACTGTAGGGGCACTCTAGAGACAGTAGGGGGCTGTAGAGAGACTGTAGGGGCTGTAGAGGGACTGTAGGGGCACTCTAGAGACAGTAGGGGGCTGTAGAGAGACTGTAGGGGCTGTAGAGGGACTGTAGGGGCACTCTAGAGACAGTAGGGGGCTGTAGAGAGACTGTAGGGGCACTGTAGAGAGACTGTAGGGGCTGTAGAGGGACTGTAGGGGCACTCTAGAGACAGTAGTGGGTTGTAGAGGGACTGTAGGGGCACTCTAGAGACAGTAGTGGGCTGTAGAGGGACTGTAGGGACACTCTAGAGACAGTAGGGGGCTGTAGAGAGACTGTAGGGGCACTCTAGAGACAGTAGGGGGCTGTAGAGAGACTGTAGGGGCACTGTAGGGGCTGTAGAGGGACTGTAGGGGGTTCTGTAGAGACAGTAGAGGCGCTGTGGAGAGACAGTAGGGTCCACTGTGGAGAGACAGTAGGGGGTGCTGTAGCTGGGTTAGATGATCAGTTTAGTGTGGCTGTGGTTTCTTCTCTGATGTTTTGTTTTGCTCTGCAGGTTGTATTAAGATCGTGAACCTGCAGGGTCGATTAAAGTCCAGCAAAAAACTCTCAGCTGAACTGACCTTCGACTTCCACATCGAGTCCATCGGTAAACACACTCAGACTTTCTCGCGTTAACCCTCAGAGACCTGCCACTGATTCTGTTTTTTTTTCCTTTTAAAACTGTTTTTTGGAAGCTTCTGATCATAGAAACTAAAATGTGGATTTTGGGAAAAATGTCTGAAATTGTACATTTCAAAATTAAGAGAATTAAAAAAAGTATAAATATGTAAAATATTACTGAATTTGCAAGACGTCAAAATGTGTATATATGTAAACGGTTTATTTTGTCTCTGCAGTAAATCAGTGAGTGATATTTAGGGACGCACTAATGTGGGAATTGTGGATCAATACCAAAAATTTTTCATACGTATTTGCTGATACTAATGCTGATATGTAGGCTTTTATAAAGTGTAGAAATTTATGAAGAGAAATTTGTGCCAAATTGAAAACAGTCACTAGAGTGGAAAACCATGAAATGCAGTTCACACATAACATCACTGTTCCACGGTGAGATGGAATACGAGCCAGAATGAAGAAGAAGTTCTCACATCACTTCACCGCTTCACTGAAAAACAGCGCACGACGATCTGCATTTACAATCAGAATTAATTACAATCCACACCAAAATGGAATGAATGCTCGACTGTACAGCTGTTCACAGTGCAGAAACAGACTTTCTTCACTGGAATGCAGCCATAACAGTGAAAACGGTGAAATGCAGTGCACACGTGAGACTGTATTTAAAGAGTAACGTGGAAAACGTGACAAAATGAAAAGTAAAAGATGTTACAGTAATTTAACGCTGTTTAAAGTACTGCTCAGTGTCTATACACAGTGTCTCTCTCTCTCTCAAGGTCTCTCTGTCTCTCTCTCTCTCTCTCTCAGTGTGTTTGCAGGACAGTGTGTTGGCGTTTTGGAGACATGGTATGCAGGGGCGGAGCTTTAAGTCTAATGAGGTGAGTCTCAATAATAACTCTTCTCTCACAACTGAATATTACAACTGATTGTTATAACTGATTGTTGTAACTGATTATTATAAGTGTTTATAAAAACTGGAAGTTGCTGTTTGTGAACTTTAATACAGTCTGAATGTCACTAATTAACACCTGTCACAGGTCACACAGGAGATTTCAGACAGCACCAGAATATTCAGACTGCTGGGCTCAGACAGGTGACACACACACACACACACACACATACACACACACACACACACACACACACACACACACACACACACACACACACACACACAGACACACACATACACACACACACACACACACACACACACACACACACACACACACACACACACACACTCACACACACACACACACACACACACACACACACACACTTACACACACACATATTCTCACACACACACACACACAGACTGACACACACACACATTTGCACACACATTCTCACACACACACTTTTACACACACTCTGTCTCACACACACACACACACACACACTCTTACACACACACACACACACACATTCTCACACACACACACACACACACAGAGACAGACACACACACACACACTTACACACATTCTCACACACTCTTACACACACACACATATTCTCACACACACACACACACAGACACACACACACACACACACTTACACACACTCTCACACATAGTCTTACACACACTCTTACACACACACACTCACACACACAAACACACACACTCACACACATATACTCTCACACACACACTCTTACACACACACACAGTTTAGTCTGTCATGCTCTGCAGCACCTGACTTGGCACCTGAATAAAATTCTGTCTGACTTTCACTGTAGCTGAGAGATTGCTGTGTGTGTGTGTGTGTGTGTGTGTGTGTGTGTGTGTGTGTGTGTGTGTGTGCGTGTGTGTGTGTGTATATCAGGGTGGTGGTTCTGGAAAGCCGTCCAACGGAAAACCCCACGGCCCACAGCAACCTCTACATCCTTGCCGGCCACGAGAACAGCTACTGAGCTGCACGGCATGCTGGGAAACCAAGCTGACACCACAAGAGCGGGTGTGTGAGAAAAACACACACTACTTGCACTCTGCTCAGGCTGGAACATCGGGAGACCACCAACCAACCCTCACCCCCCAACCCCCAACCAACCAACCCTCAACCAACCCTTCAACCCCGAACCAACCGACCAACCAACCAACCCCCAACCAACCAACACTCAACCAACCGACCAACCAACCAACCCCCAACCAACCAACACTCAACCAACCAACCAACCAACCCTCAACCCCCAACCAACCAGCCCTTAACTAACCAACCAACCAACCCTCAACTAACCAACCAACCCTCAACCCCCAACCAACCAACCCTTAACCAACCAACCCTCAACCAACCAACCCTCAACCAACCAACCCTCAACCAACCAACCAATCCCCAACCAACCAACCAACCAACCAACCAACTCTCAACCACCAACCAACCAACAACCAACCCCCAACCAACCAACCCTCAACCCCCAACCAACCAACCCTTAACCAACCAACCCCCAACCAACCAACCCTCAACCAACCAAAATCAATTAACCTCAGCTAACCCCCAACCTGGCACCAGCTACCCCAATCAACCCCCAACCGACCAAACACAGACTAACCTGTCACCACTACACACTCTAACATGCTATACAGTGTAACACACTGTAGACGAATGCTACCTACACCATACAGCACACACACACACACACACATAGTAACACTACACACTTTACGCTGGACTCTTCGGTACTCAGAGTTCAGCTCCATCTCTGACTGAACACACCTGATGCAGCGGGTGAGGGTCTTCAGGAGCGTCTGATCCAGGTGTGTCCAGCCGTGGACCTGCAGGGCTTCATCCCAGCGCAGTTTTGTCATTTACCTGCTCAGTCACACCTGATTCATGTCAGCAGTTATAACCTCTCCAACTACAGGACCATCATTCAGTTACTGACCTTCAGCCTTACTGTCCAGTATGTACCACGAATTATTCACATTAAACGACTAACTTCTGTAACTTCTGTAGTTCTGAGAGTGAGGAACTGAAGCGTGGACCCCAAACAGACCCTCAGAGTTTACAGGGTTAGAAGCCAGGCTTAGTTACAGTGTGTTTCCTGCCCTGTCACACCTGGACCAACTTTAAAGGGCTTATTAATTCCCTTCCCCAGACTCCGCCCACCAGATGTGTTCTGTCATAGCTGCTGTTGTGATGAGACGGTTTACAGAAACCTGAGAAAATCCCACTAAACCTAATGAGAAACTGTAGAACAGACTCAGTTTATATCACAATACCTACATTTAGAGTCGGTTATTCATTCAGCCTAATGAGAAACTGTAGAACAGACTCAGTTTATATCACAATACCTACATTTAGAGTCAGTTATTCATTCAGCCTAATGAGAAACTGTAGAACACACTCAGTTTATATCACAATACCTACATTTAGAGTCGGTTATTCATTCAGCCTAATGAGAAACTGTAGAACAGACTCAGTTTATATCACAATACCTACATTTAGAGTCAGTTATTCATTCAGCCTAATGAGAAACTGTAGAACAGACTCAGTTTATATCACAATACCTACATTTAGAGTCAGTTATTCATTCAGCCTAATGAGAAACTGTAGAACAGACTCAGTTTATATCACAATACCTACATTTAGAGTCAGTTATTCATTCAGCCTAATGAGAAACTGTAGAACAGACTCAGTTTATATCACAATACCTACATTTAGAGTCGGTTACTCATTCAGCCTAATGAGAAACTGTAGAACAGACTCAGTTTATATCACAATACCTACATTTAGAGTCGGTTATTCATTCAGCCTAATGAGAAACTGTAGAACAGACTCAGTTTATATCACAATACCTACATTTAGAGTCAGTTATTCATTCAGCCTAATGAGAAACTGTAGAACAGACTCAGTTTATATCACAATATCTACATTTAGAGTCGGTTATTCATTCAGCCTAATGAGAAACTGTAGAACAGACTCAGTTTATATCACAATACCTACATTTAGAGTCGGTTATTCATTCAGCCTAATGAGAAACTGTAGAACAGACTCAGTTTATATCACAATACCTACATTTAGAGTCGGTTATTCATTCAGCCTAATGAGAAACTGTAGAACAGACTCAGTTTATATCACAATACCTACATTTAGAGTCGGTTACTCATTCAGTCTTCGCTCTCTCTTTGGGTTTAGTGGGATTTGTATCAGGGTTCTGTAAAGCTTGTCTAATTTCTCAACAGTAACTATGAAAGAGCACATTAGTGGGCGGAGCCTGGAGAGAGTAATTGTACTGTGGTTTTGAATTAGAGTAAACACTAACACGTTCAGCACACACACACACACACACACACACACACGCACACAGACGGGCAGAAGGTCAAAGGTCATCAGTTGTAGTCATGGTGAGGTTGTTACAGTTTAACTCAGTGCTGTACAGACTTTAATCTGTTAGATCTGAAAGGTTTAGTGTTTATTCTGAATGAGTGAGTGTGTGAACTGTGTACAGGTTTATCCGACTGTTTCAGACGTATCAGACTGTTTGTTTGTTTGTTTGTTTGTTTGTAGGACTAGCTGACTGAGGGTACTGATTTAAGGGCTTTTTTAGGAAAACAGCTAAAGTGCCCATTTTCAACATTTGCCTTTTCAGTGTCTCTTTTTTATGTTTGTGTTTTTATTATTTTGTTTACTCATTTTTATATGGAACCAAATGCTGTTTTATTTAACAACTTTAAATGGTCATGGCTTTTAGATGTGTGGTCTGCACTCACAGTGAAATTTGCACATTTTTACAGTGTTTATGTGTATATTTAGCTGGATGTTTGTCTATGAAAACACTTACAGAACAAATAAAGGACTCTGCTGTAAATGTGCTGATGTATGTAACTGCATTAAATCAAACGTTTCCTACACAGAAATGATGAATTAATGACTCATTTGTTCAGGTGTGTGTGTGTGTGTGTGTGTGTGTGTGTGTGTGTGTGTGTGTGTGTGTGATTCTGGGATTTTAACTGTGCAGAAAAAAACAGATGGTTGAAACAGCGTCGCTCCGTCTTAAGTAGTCTACAAAGCTTATTTATAAAGACAAACAGACTCTAAGAGCTGAACTGGACTGGGTAAGTTTAGCTGAGTCGACTCTTTGAATCGGCTCTAAGGTGAACACTGCGTGGGCATTGAAGAGAATGTTTTGTAAATTAAGACAAAACTAACTGAAAATCACGGAATCAAACTTTTATTTGATTATAATAGACTTTTTATATGATTTTTTTTTTTTGGTTATTATTTTACATTTTATATTTTTAAAATACATTTATTAACTATTTCTCCATTTGAGCTGTCATGATTATTTTATTTTCACAATTCTAGTGGTTTATTCTGATTCGACTAACTTCTTAATATTAAATTAACTATTATGACGATTATTATGATTCTTAGTATTTGTTTTTTTTTTTTTTACAATGGGCTACGGTGTAAATGACGGTCACACTCCATGTACTCCGAGTTTAAATAAAGGATGATTTTTTTTGATTGATTGATTGAACTTGGTTGATTTCGTTAATGCCACTGAAGGAAGAGTCGGCTCTTACCTGTGAGCCGAGCCGTCTGAATCGACTCTGAGAAGATCCGGAACGCCCTTCACCGTTTACACTGGAGTCTCAGAAACCTGCAGGTTCTGTCTGTAAAACTCCTTCGTCTGTTAAAGGTGTAAAATGTTCTGCAGGTTGGAAACTGAACTGAACAATAATCTGATTTAGTGAATCAGAAAAGAGTGTGAAGCCGTTAGTGCAGCTGCACTAAGGAACGCTGAGGGACTTTTATTATGAAAGCGGAGTTCAGACGGACTTTTACGTGTTTGTGTGTGTGTGTGTGTGTGTGCACTCTGCGCAGCCCAGCTGTGTCTGCGGGGTCAGTAGCGGCTCTCGCAGAGCGGTACCGGTCCCGGTCCGGTATGTCTGTGTTCAGGTCGGATCTGTTCAGTAGGAAGGTGGCGATCGTGACCGGCGGAGGAAGCGGGATCGGAAAGGCCATCACAGCGGAGCTGCTGCAGCTAGGTCTCACTCTCCGTCTCACTCTCCGTCTCACTCTCCGTCTCACTCTGTTAAACTCCGTTACTGTGTTAAACTGAACTGTCCAGCTTTTCTACATTATTAAATTAAACTGTTTAAGCGACTCGCTGATGAACCGAGTCAGTTTACAGCGCCGACTCTCTGAACCTCTCAGTGAACTTTAACCTGAAAACTCAGAGTTCAGATTTTACACTAAAGCTGCGCCCAAAACCACCTTCCTCTGTATTACCCTGCTGAAAAAGGACCATTAGAAACCATTTGGATTAACAACTGATGGTTTTGCCTTCTAATGGGAATTGACTTAATGGTTTCCAGTGGAGACCACTAGTTTCCTGTAAAACACCTTTAGTTCCCATTAGGAAAACATCAGACACATTTAGAATCAGCCACTGGTTGCCTGTTAAACCATTAGAGTCATTTAAGCTGTGATATCAACCCATTAAAAAGACTAAACACATCACATTGGTGATGCACTGACTCAGACTGTTCAGAACGATAGTGTGCGGATTGGGACGCAGCCTCAGTTTTCTTCAGACTCCCGATTTCACCTGTTATAATGGAGACACACACACACACACACACGCACACATACTCACAGACACACACACACACACACACACACACACACACACACACACACACACACATACACACACACACATACACACACACATACATACACACACACATACATACTCACAGACACACTCACATACAGACACACACACACACACACGCATACACACACACATACACACACACACACACACATACATACTCACAGACACACACACACACACACACACACATACTCACATACTCACAGACACACACACACAGACACACACACATACATACATACACACAGACACACACACATACATACACACACACACACACACATACACACACATGCATACACACACACATACTCACAGACACACATACACACACACACACACACACACACACACACATACATACACACACATACATACATACACACACACACACATACACACACATACATACATCACACACACACACACATACACCACACACACACACACACACACACACACACACACACACACATGCATACTCATACACCACACACACACACACATATCATACACCACACACACAGACACACACACACACTCTCACAGTTTGCTTTGTAATAAAATTCAAAACCACCCAAAGCTTTAACGATTTGAGTGACCACTGATCAATAACAAACAGTTCAGTGGACCAACTTTCACAGCCGTACAAACACCAGCCTGAGGAAATCCGACACCTTCCTCCGTTTGGAGAGACGCTCTCCGGAATTTCACTTCATCTTTATTTTTCACACAAAACATTGCAGGAAATAGGCTATCAGTATCTGACCACTCACCTTCAGTTAAAAGTCCTCCAGCTAAAACCCCTTCAGTTAAAAGCCTTTCTGTTAAAAGCCCTTCTATTAAAAGCCCTGCAGTTAAAAGACCTTGAATTAAAAGCCGTTCTTTCACTGTTTTCAGTGTTTGTATGAGATGTTCCTCTGCTGCTCTGTTCAGGATGCAGTGTGGTCATCGCGTCTCGGAAGTTGGAGCGATTGGAGGCCGCAGCTGAGGAGCTGAAGCCCCATATCCCGGAATCCTCCGGGCCACCCCGGGTCACCCCCATCCGGTGTAACATCCGCGATGAGGACGAGGTTCTGATCTGATCAGAGATTTAACTAAAAAGCACATTTATAACCGTATTTTCAGAAACAGTTAATGCACTTAAGTGTAATCGTGTGTTGTCACTGCTAATGTCACTGTTACTGTAATATCAGTAATGGAGTCCCTGATTCTGACTGAGTCATCGTTACGGCTGTAATTGTATCTGAAGTGTGTTTTCAGGTGCTGTTTCTAAATGGGTCTCTCAACTCACTTGTGATTGACAGGTGAAGAATCTGGTGGCGTCCACGCTGAAGCTGTACGGCCGGATAGATTTTTTGGTGAATAACGGCGGCGGTCAGTTCAGCAGCCCGGCGGCCAGCATGAGCCTGAAGGGCTGGAAGGCCGTCATCGACACGAACCTCACGGGAACCTTTCTCTGCTGCAAGGAGGGTCAGTAATGTACAGCGTGGGCAGTTAGAGCCTCGTTTCACACATCTCTCATTCAGATTAATGTCCAGAGGAGATTGATTCACATTCCATTTACACTCAGACACGAAAATGCATCTTAAGTGCGTTTACATTTTTTCATCATCAGTTGGCTCTCCAATCTGCCCGATAGAGGAGTCAGTCACTATCCACCAACATACAGCTTAACTTAACCAACTTAACTGTCATACAGCTTAATTTAACCAATTTAACCATCATACAGCTCCACTTAACCAACTTAACCATCATACAGCTTAATTCAACCAACTTAACCATCATAGAGCTTAATTTAACCAATTTAATCATCATACAGCTCTACTTAACCAATTTAACCATCATACAGCTCAACTTAACCAATTTAACCATCATACAGCTCAACCTAACCAACTTAACCATCATACAGCTTAATTTAACCAATTTAACCATCATACAGCTTAATTTAACCAATTTAACCATCATACAGCTTAATTTAACCAATTTAACCATCATACAGCTTAATTTAACCAATTTAACCATCATACAGCTCAACTTAACCAATTTAACCATCATACAGCTCAACTTAACCAATTTAACCATCATACAGCTTAATTTAACCAACTTAACCATCATACAGCTTAATTTAACCAATTTAACCATCATACAGCTTAATTTAACCAATTTAACCATCATACAGCTTAATTTAACCAATTTAACCATCATAGGGCTTAACTTAACCAACTGGTGGACAGGCAGGTAGAAAGGCAGGTAAACAGGCAGGTGGACAGGCAGGTAGACAGGTAGGTGGACAGGCAGGTGGACAGGCAGGTAGACAGGTAGGTGGACAGGCAGGTAGACAGGTAGGTGGACAGGCAGGTAGACAGGCAGGTGGACAGGCAGGTGGACAGGCAGGTAGACAGGCAGGTGGACAGGTAGGTGGACAGGTAGGTGGACAGGCAGGTGGACAGGCAGGTAGACAGGCAGGTGGACAGGCAGGTGGACAGGTAGGTGGACAGGTAGGTGGACAGGCAGGTAGACAGGTAGGTGGACAGGCAGGTAGACGGGTAGGTGGACAGGCAGGTGGACAGGTAGGTGGACATGCAGGTAGACGGGTAGGTGGACAGGCAGGTAGACAGGTAGGTGGACAGGCAGGTAGGCTGTTTGGTCTGAATGAAATGACTGGACAGGTTTATTTATTGATGGCTATCAGATTTACAGAGTATTTCAAAAAACATAACAAAAAATATTTCTAAAATGAATCACCTGTTCCAGCTTTAGGCCCCGCCCCATTCCTTATTTTTACCCCTTGTTTTTGAGTGTTGCCCTTTAGAACTGAGTTACAGGGTAGTGGTTGAATCTTCCCTCTGAAATGAGACCCTCAAATAAAAAGAGCATCACTTCATTAACAGCTACCAGCGCTGCTCTGTAGGCGACCCTGCCAGTCTGCAGTGACAGCAGAGGAGGGTAAAGTTCAGCTCCTCACTGCTGGGGTGCCTGTTTGCTTGTTATGAAGAAAAGGACCATAATACACTGAAACTACATTAATCTAAGATAACAGTGTTTATTGTAATTTTTAACAGAGAAAATTCTCACATTTGTGGGTTTCTCTGGTCTCTTGTTCTCCGTCTCGTC